ACCTCTACGATCTCCGTGTACGTCATTAAACGGCTGCATTCTGTTTTCTGTTCGTCAGTATGTTGTTCTCCTCTCTCTCGTGGATGTTGTCATTCCATTGGATTACACATAGCATTGCTATAAAGGCAAATATTCTCATTATAACGTCGTGTAGCGGACTCTGTTGCTACAGCCGCTACTTCTGCGTTGTTGTTTTTTTTTACGTCGAGAAATCCCCCGCGCCCCCTCCCCTCTGACAGGGAAAGTCCCCCGCTGTGAGGAGCATATGTGAACGGCTAGGTCGGGAGAATCTCCAGAGCAGTCCGCCTGTAAATATCTAGATGTTATCCGGAGTGCACATGTGAAAACGGCTTAATACTGTTTATGTGTTATTAGGGGGGGGGGGCTCTTACTTTTGGAGGGGTGGCCACAGGGGGGTCCAAGCTCAGTGTTACCGTGGCACTGGCTCCTGTTGGCCCCTGCCTAGAACCGCCCATGCTTAAGTGGTGTCTTTAGTAGTTCCTGGTGCATTTTGTAGGACTTTTAAGTCAATTATATACCAACTTTATATCTGGCCTGTAAGGTATAATACAAGATTCTCTACAAGAAAACGTGTTCTGTTTACAAGCTGTGCATATGTCTCAACATTGCATTTGTTAAACATTAGGTCTGTAAAGTTAACTGTTAAAAAGGAATTTTTGCAGTCTCATTGCACTTATCTGTCTCACACATATTAAGTTTGTACATCTAATTTTTTGCTTTGAATGTTATATATATATAAGTGGCACATTTTATTGTGAATTCAGTTCATTTTGTTTCCTGTCCTCTTATTCAAAGGTTTATGGGTAGTAGAAAAAGGAGGCGCCGGTCAGCCCCCGCTGTCACAGAAGACACAACAACTCAACCAGGAGCTGATACTCCAGCAGACCTCCAGTCCTCTGATTTGTTTGAAAAAACACAGACACTGCCATCTCCATCAGTGCTAAAGGTACTAGTTCCTTTTCTGATTTGTCTTTGCTTTTGAGAAACATGAAATTGTTGCATTTGTATTTGCGTCATTCTTTTGTTTTGAAGGCTTGACAGTTTACCTAGAATGTGGGCTCGTGTGTATTTTTCCTAGGAAGAAGAAACATTCACCAACGAGTCAGAGAATGAAATGGAAACTGAAACAGCGGAACCTCAAACATCACCCTGCCCAGATAAGACATCACCATCATTGAGAGAACCAACAGGGGTCCCAGAACTGGGCGAAAAGATTCTCACTGTGATCCTCCGTCGTGTTTTCACTCCAGCTCGGGGGTATCAGTGTGAGCTGTGCCAGCAGACTTTCACCAATGTCTCGGAGCTTTTAAAACACAGACAGCTTCATACAGAAGGAAAGTCCCTCAGCCGTGAAAGTTGTGACGAGCTCTCCACAAATCAAGCAGATTTCGCTGAGCACCAGCCAGTCCCGGAGCCTTCGTTTCCGTGCAACATGTGCGAGCGGTCTTTCACTACAACTCATCACCTCAAGCGTCACAAACTGCTGCATGTGAAAGACGGCAGGAAGTGCCCCATTTGTGGGGTTCTCTTCTGTCAGCTTCATAACCACGTTTTATTCCTGCCACAGACTGAGTCTGTTACAGAGGTCGAAGAGGAGTCCTCCATCATTGAGCCAGTAAACAGTCGGCGGGAGCTCCAAAAGCCAAAGCCGATAACTCACCGAGATGATGGTCCTCGAAGCACCGTAACTGTAACCCCCGTGCAAACAACTTCTCAACCGATTGTATTTCATTCCCCCAAAAAAACTTTTAAGACCCTTAAACCTCTTCCTCCACCTTCACACACAAGGGTCTTGTCAGAAATGCCTCTACCTGTGTTGAAAAAACCATATCCCGTACCTGAGAACCCAGAGACTTCGTCTGTGTTTAAGAAACCCTACTCCCCTCCAGCCTTCAGCCAGTCCAGTCTCCCCCGAGATATAGAACTCCCACCCTCACTACAGATGTTTTCGCCAAAGTTTCTCACCTCTTCTTTCTTTAAGGTGACACGGAATTATGAATATCTTTTAAGCAAACCGAGAGGTATTAAGAAGGAGAAGGAGTAGGATAAAGGGAAAGTGCTGCTGATTTCTGCAGAGGAGAAAGCATTGAGCCAGACGAAGAGAATAGATGGATACTCTGATGGAGCTCTGATCGTAACAGTGAAGGAAAGTTTTGTCACTTTTAAAATGAAACGGTGACTGGAGTCTTTGTTTGGCTGCAGTTAACCCCTCAGCTATCACACTGGACGTATTGTGCAACGATGTAGGGCTACAGCCAAAATCATAGTTTGAAAGAAAAGTCAATTAATAGCTCAGCTCTACTTTATTAAGATTTCACTCCTACTAACCCAGAAGCTTCTAACACATGAGTGCGTTTAGTTGATACTTCAGCTTTAAAAAAAGACTCATGATACTACCAATGTGTCACACTATTTTCTGTCTTTGGGATGGAGTTGTTTTATTGAATTTGTGTTACAATGATTAATGTGTACTATGAATGTTATTCCTGTTTTCTTTGTCAGTGTATGTCTGGTTCCGAACATCTTTGTATTTTAACCTCAGTGCCTTCAATCATAATGCTGCTTAAAATAAGAGATGTATGTTTGGGATGCTGTCGTAAAGATGTTTTTTTTTTTTTTTAATTGTCATTGTTAGACGATGAATACTGTTTTGTGAGTACAAAAAATATACAGTTTAAAAGACCTGACTTTTAAAACTTTGCAATGCTTAAACTGCATTCATCCCATCTACCTCAGCTGTCCTGAAGTCAGACATTGCATGTTTGTTTGTTTTGTTCAGTTCTTTTGTTTCCTCTCCTTTTGTAATAAAGAAACGCTCTAATCCACTCAGCATCTCAGTAACATAGTACAATCCTGTGTTGGATCGTGTGATCTTAAACCTGACGTGTCAGAAATCAGGGCGAGAGAAGGAACTACCTGTCTGAGATTTTTAATGTCAGACAGAACCTAACCTTCTGAACAGACGTTGAGCGAGACACTATTCCCTCCCTGCTGCAGAGCTGCTGTTCTGTATCTGATACCGGCCCTTTAAACATTGTGATGGGAGACAAGTCAAACATTTTCTATCCTAGTAACATTACTGTGTGAATGTGTAGAATGAAAACACCATCTCCGAAGTTGCATGCAAAACAAATTAACATTTAAACATTTGAGCTATAATCCGCTCTTATCATCTCTGCCACTGATGTGTATGGATGACAACTTCATAATAGCATAAGATCATCTTTTATTGATCCCCAGTGGGTAAATTCAAGTGTTGCAGCAGTAAAAGACAAGAATATAAACAATAAAATAAGAATAGATCAGAATAAATAAAAAAGATAAAGTACAATGTATTTACAACTATTATTCGCAAGTATTAAGTAAACTATACACCAATTAAGATCTTTACATTAAAAACTATACAAGACACTCAGACATATAAGTGGCAAGTTTTAGTTAAAGTCAAGACAAAGTGACAGTTGAAATAAATTGACAAATTTAAGCAATAAATATCACACTAAGCATCTAGAATGATATATGACTCCTGCGGGGAATGTAAGTGTTCATGTTGAAGACAGACTGTAGGTGTGTCGTGAAATATTTCCAAATGAGTTCTGTTTTTTTTGTTTTTTTTACCTTAAATGTAGTCATTAGTCATGTAGGTGAAACTTAATGCATCGAATCAAAGTATCAACACGGGGGCTGAATCTCACTTTGATTAGAGAGAACAGGAGATGGAGGGATTACACTGTGAAAAGTACTAATGTGAAATATATTCTGCACAGTAACACCTGCAGAATTAAAATGACTTCTTTACTAGACCGGCATGTTTGTGTTGCTTGAAAGCTAAAGATTAACAGACCAAAATTAGTCTTCAGATATTTCCTGATATAGTCACTAGAGGGATTGTGAAAGTGACCTCAAACTGTCTTCCTGCTTGTCTTGAAGCGACCTCTTATCAGTGTGTCATAAAGCATTAAAATGGCCAGCTTGTGTTGTGAGCTGCAGCACAATCCCATTGCTATACAAGCCCGTTGCAGGAGAAAATCCCCCAGTACGATGAATATAAGGTTCACGCCTTAATTTGGTCTGGCTTTTCTGGTCACTGTGGTTGCCTAATCTTAACTACTGTAGTATGGTGTAGAATTCAAATAACAAGAAGCTGTTGCTTAATAGTTCAGTCTGTGTATGTCTGTGTAGTTGAGGGTGTACATGGTTGAACAGGTTAGGAAATATATAGTATAGCCATGATAACAGTCATGTAAGTCAGCCTCAGCAGACTGAATTAAATGTTTGTCACAAACAAATGCTTAGTTACCGTGTCAAGCTATTTAGAAGTATTAATAAAGAACCTTTAATGTAAAGATCAATCAAATGTTATTCACTTATTAATCGGTTTATTTATAGAATTTAAAAAGAGGCAGTCCAAATGTTGATCCATCAATGGTGTGTTTTGTTATCTATAAAGTTTCAGTTAATTATTTCACCTAAAAAGCCAATATCTTAACTTTTAAACTCATATTACTTATTGCTTGCATTGCAAATTCAAGAGTGTAGCAGTTTGAGTACGATCACCTAAATGTGCACATCTCAGCCACGTAGCTAAGACACTTTCTTTTTTTATTTTTTACTGTTTTCTCTGCAGCTCTAAGCCCTTTTTTTTAACTTTCAATTTCACTGAGACATAAATATTCATTTGTTTTAATGGCTAAATCATTTTTCCCACAGAAAAAGTAGGTTGCATTGATGTTTTTTAGCCATGCCCACAGTTTATCCCTCCGAAAACCTCTTGTACCACATCTCACATCCACATGTGAGTATCCTGCCTGAGTCCATCTGTACGCTGTACGCTTCCCATTGGTCAGAATCCACCAGTAATGGTGCCTGAGGATTCTGATTGGTCCCTTCGGATGTCACTCAAGCTTAACGATAGCGATGATTGGCTGACGTCCCCCGCAGCTGATTGGTTGATCATTTCCTCGCTTGGCTGCCTAGATGACAGGCAAGTGGTGCTGATGCTGTGACAATGGGAGTCTTTCAGATAAGCATCATCTGGATCGAGTGTGCTTAAAAAAAAAAACACTGCAGCTGCACACACACACGCGTAACTGACTGTGAAGGGACGGGAAGGCACCCGGGTGGAAACACGGGGAGGAACCTCCAGCTGCTGCTCTCAAAGGGTGAGTTCATCCCCGGAGAACACACTGACATGCCCGGGGCGCACAGTTAGCTGTTACCGACGAAGGGGGGCTGGGGAACAACACTCAAGTACGTTCGTGGTATGACTACAAATCCCGATGGCTAGGTGAAGCAAGGTTACCAATCTTCCCCAGTTTCATTCTATCCAACATGTTTTGCTTTCTGGCTCTGAGCTCACTGCACTGTAAATTGCAGCGGTTGTTTCAAGACAAGCTGTGAGTCAACTCGTCCCCTTGGTCGACTGCATTGCGGAGGAAGCATGCCTTGAAGAATAGTGTGTGTCTACTATGCCATCATACTTACCCTGGGATTAAGTCTTCTATTCACCAGTGTTACAATAAATAGATTTAAATCTGAAGGTTATTGTGCTGTGATCTTCACGCTTTGTAACATCCGGATGTTTCATCCTTCCGATCATCAGGCTACTGTCAGGAAATAGTTTGAGGTATTTGATTCAGAATTTAAGTGAGCACTATCAAACAACTAGTAGATACTAAAAATTAGATAATACTTAATGGCTGGCCCTCAAATTCTAATAGTCATTACATACATTTGCACAGATTTGTAGTGAACTGCTGTGCATGCTGGGATTTGAAGTTTCAGGATGTGTCTGTTTAGAGTGAGTTAGAGTTAACTGTTTTATTATAACCTATACAAAAATGTGTATAAAGAAATGTTATTGTTATCACTTAAACTTTTTATTTATTTTTTAGCTTTTGCACAGTTTGTAGTAAGGCACACGGCATGCTGGGATTTGAAGTTTGAGAGTCTTATGTGTCCATTTTCAGTGAGTGAGAGATTTATTATATTGAAAGAGACTTTGAATTTGCAAAAACATATGTTGCTGACTCGAACTTTGGCTGTGCAGATTTTCCATGAGGCACCATGCATTTTGGGATTTGTAGTTTGAGGTCTACCACGTCTATTCATGTTGAGTGATAAGTTGCATCATTAATTTTGAGGTCAGCACTAAAAATCTGACAGCGTATGCACGAATCTGCTCAGATTTGTACTGATGTGCAGTGCATGCTGGGATTTGAAGTTTCAGTGGGCTGTGTCAGTTGAGTATGATTTAGAAAGCTGCCTATGCTTTTCTGCAACTTTGCAAAGGTGTTCTTAAGGACTCTACAGTATTCTGAATTTTTGCATTGTAATGCTGACTCCAGCAGTGCAGATGCCTTACTTTGTTGCTGTAAAAATGTCTTCCCTCTGCTTTTTTAGGTCGAGATATGGGGGGGTTCAGCAGACAGAAGTTTTTCCAGGAGCTTGCTCATGGCTGCCTGCTGCCAACAGCTCAGCAGGGTCTGGAGCAGGTATGGCAGCTGCTGGTTATCTGCCTGCTTTGTCGGCTCCTCTGGATGCTGGGTGAGAGTTATTTTCTGCCCCCCTCAGTGTTGCTCACCTATCATACGCACAGCTCACCTCATCGTAATCCCCTGTTCTATCTGTTGTTCATCTATCTTGCTTTGTCAGGCCTTCCCTCCTTTGTGAAACACCTGGGCACAGTAGCAGGAGGCTTCTACACTCTCTACCTGTTCTTTGAGCTTCATATGATCTGGGTGGTCCTCCTCAGCCTTCTCTGCTACCTCTTCCTCTTCCTGTGCCGCCACTCTACAATCAGAGGCACCTTCCTCTCCATCACTGTGCTCATCTACCTGCTGCTGGGGTAGGAGCGTCCACCTTTGATGCCTGACAGCTCATTAGCACGCGTCAAATCTGTGTTTGAAAAGAAGTTTGATTCAGGGTGAGAATTGCCTCAAAACTGAATCTATTTTTATCCGTTTTTTTCTCAGAGAGATGCACATGATGGACACCACAAACTGGCACAAGATGAGAGGTAGGCATATTTTCTGCAAGCAGCAACACTTGACACATTTCTGATAGATAAAAGCAAAAACAATGATTGTTATCGGTTAATTTTGAGCTATGATAATACTCTTGTGTTGTACACTTTTTGAGTATTTATATGACACTGCTGTCGTCCAGGTTCTCAGATGGTGGTTGCCATGAAAGCTATCTCTCTTGCCTTCGATTTGGATAGAGGTGTTGTGACCAGTGTGCCCTCACCCATTGAATTCATGGGCTACATTTACTTCGTTGGCACGGTCATCTTTGGTCCCTGGATCAGCTTCAACAGCTACAAAGAAGCTTTAGAAGGACGTAAGCTGGTGAGTGCGATACAATATCTTTCTAGGAAGTGGGAGGCGGGGATTATTTTGAAGATTTATCCAGAGGTGAGACGCTAACTGTTCAAATCTTTGCGTCTTTCTTCTCTTCAGAGCTTTTCATGGCTCTTAAAGGTGTCTGTTAGCTGGGTGAAGAGCCAGGTCTGCCTTGTTATTTCCAACTGTGTGGCTCCCTACCTCTTCCCTTATTTCATACCAGTTTATGGAGACAAGCTGCTGCGAAGGTGAGTACAGATAAAGATTCACCAAAATATTAACATATATATAGAGATACTCCTACACTGTTGTGCTCTGGCTTCTTCTTCTTATTTCTTAATTTAATCTGCCTTTTTTTTGCAGCAAAAAGAGGAGGAAGATCAGGTGAGTTATTGTCTAAACTTAAGTCATCCTCAACAAACACTAAAATAAAGGCATCCACATTATTTTGTATCTTTTAAATTGTTTTTCAAGTAAGGGAAATGTTGTCCCTCCAGGGTTTTATGTGTTTCTTTAACCATATCAATCATGCAATATTCTTATAATAGTTATACAATATGTGCATAAAAAGGATAAATGTGAGTTTTATAAATCACATTTTAAATCAAATATCTTCAGACAAACTGAGTTTATGAGTATGATGTGCTGTGTATGTTTCCTGAGGCGATTTTCTCACTTTGAAAATGGGAATAGAAAAAAAGAAAATGGATTTGTGGTAGACATGAAGCAGCATACAAAACAAGTACTGTCGGTGTGAGGAAAACAAGTGTTGCTCTCTTTAAAACTCCCAGCTCTTGTACTTTTTTCTGAGGGAAAATTAGCAAAGATGACACCAGCACACCTGATGTACTGTTTTCAGTTACAAGGGTGTTATTTTCTTTTGTGCATTTTTACCTTTCACTGATAGGACAGCTCAGGGACATGTGAGGAAGAGAAAGTGGGGTAGACGTGCATCAAAGGGTTTTGACTGGGACTATGACCTATGCTTAATGGAAAATAGCCTCTGTAAATGGGGCGCCGGCTCTACAGACCTTGCTAAACCAGCGCCCTTTCAAAGATGTTGTTTAGAAGATGAGACACTGCTGGCATAGTGCTGTATTATTCATCTTTACATAGGTTTACTTCTTGGGTAGGTTTCCAATAATTGGTTATTAGGGGGAAAAACAGTATTTTAAAGTGAGTACACTGAGAAACACTGCACAAACGCTCGCTGTTTTCTGTTTTTCATTTGTCTATCACCTCAAGCTGCATGCATCGTCTCCATCCCTCACTCTCTGATAACGCTCTGTGCAGCCAATTATCACATACCAAGTATATACCACATTTATATTAATTGAATGTATCACTGACATTTACTGCTACCCTCTCTCTCTATGCTCTTCTGCTTCTTCAGAGGTACTACCGCAAAGTAAGTCTTCAAAATATACACGATAATAAAAGTTCTATTCTAACCTGGAATTGAAATATATTTATTTTGTCTGTAATTTCCTCTTTTAATGTCCATGCTTTAGGTGGTTGCTGGCGTACGAGAACACCATGTCTTTCCACTTTAGCAATTATTTTGTGGGTTATCTGAGCGAGACCACTACAACTCTGGCTGGGGCGGGTTTCACAGAAGAGAAAGACAACCTCAAATGGTCAGAACTACACCTATAATTTTAAAATAAAGCTCATATTTATTTCTCATGCTCGACAAGATTCACTTTTTTTTTCCTTTTTTAGGGATATGAGTGTATCCAAGCCACTGAACATAGAGTTTCCCCGGTCGATGGTGGAGGTGGTGACGTCATGGAATCAGCCAATGTCTTCCTTTCTGCACACCTGTGAGTTATCATTTCAACAGTGATGGCTTGATGGCAGCAGCTGTTCTTGCTTTTCATTCTAATTATGAATGGCTTGATAATGGCTCATTTAAACAGACCCTCTCAAACAAGCTGATGCTCTCATCTCGCAGATGTTTTCAAGAGTGCGCTCAGATTTGGGACGTTCTCAGCCATTATGGTGACATATACAGCCAGCGCTCTTCTGCATGTGAGTGCTATCCGGAAGTTGCACATAAGTTATTATACCTCAACCCCAGCAGCCTTTACTGTTGTGTGTTTGTTTCAACAAGTTGATAATTTGATGTTGCTTTTTTTTTGTTTGTGTGGTAGGGTTTGAGTTTTCACCTGGGGGCAGTGCTGATATCTCTTGGGTTCATGACGTACATTGAGCACGGTGAGAATCTGCCTAATGTCTCTTTTCCACATCAGAACTTTTCCATTTAGACAAGGTGCTTAGCTTTGCAGTAACGGTTAATTGCACACACTATTACACACTGTTTCTTTCCACTGCGGCTCTTGTAATTTACTTGTTATGGTTGGAAAAAGAACTCTAACTCTGACTTCTTTTTAATGCCTGGCTCTTCTATTATGTTTCAGTGTTGCGGAAGAGGCTTGCAGCCATTTTTAATGCCTGTGTACTCTCAAAGAAATGTCAGCCAAACTGCACTCACAAGAACAAAAAGGTAATATGAACCGCTTTCTTTGCTCCCTTTTGAAATGGGAGCCTTTATTACTTGCCATTTCAGTTTAGCAGTTTTGCATGCAGATATAAACCAATAAAAATACTTAGACCTGTGACAATAAAATGCTAATTTTCTTTCTTGCCAAGAGTAAGTTGGATGAATAAATAGCACTGTCATGCTGCTAAATATGTGTCCTAAATAAGTAGCTAAACTGGGTATGTAAATGTACACAGAGGCTATACTGATATGAACTATATATATATATATATATATATCTCTATATGAACACTAAACAATTACACGTTAGCTTAACACAAGTGCTTATATGTACAATTAAAAAGTACAACAAAATATTCTATTATGTAGGCTAAATATGAATTCTAAATTGGATCTAAGAAGGAAATATGTATGCTAGCTACGAAAACAAGTATGTTTAAAATGTAGCCTCAATATTTAGCTATGCTAAAAAGGTTTGTTAAACGTCTATGCTATATATTTATAGGCTACCTATGAAGGCCCAGTTCTACAAAGGTGCAAAAGGTTGCATTGCACCCTCATTTTATATTTCTGCACCCTCAATTGAATGGACGCAAAAATAAATAACAATAAGTAACGAAGGCCAACAGTGACTCGTGTTTATTACATCCATGATCTAATGGTCATGCCAGGTTCACATGATCTGTCTGTTCACCAAGGACCACACGAGGGACCCATAACGTCTACACTATCTTTCACTGTAGCTGCACCCCCTTTAATCTCAGATGCACCCTCAGTCATTTTGTTCTACAATGATAGCCTGTATCTATGCTGCTGAAGCTTAGCTAAGCATAAAGATGAGAGTCAGTGGAAATGGCAAGCTGAAGGATTTTGCAGGGGGGGGTTATGTGCTTGACTAGTTCTTTGCAGGCAGCAGTAAATTATTTGAATGTCACTGGTTGTCATCTTTTTAACCTTTGGGCAAAAACCAGTATAGCTGTTGAACTGTGCTTACAGTTTTTAAGATAGAATATGCTGACAAAGAGCACAAACATGACAAGTGTATGAATCTTCTCACCTATCTCTTTCAAAGAAAATAATCATGCATTTTTTTAAAGGCTTATTCACAGGCTTTTTATGCCTTCATTAAGAGATAGGACAGTGGATAGAGTCAGAAATTGGGGAAAGAGAGAGAGAGTGTTGGGAACGACAAGAAATATGCATATTTTTTATCAAAATGTCAAACTCGATCCTTTTTTTCCCCAATGTTTTTGGACTTACTTTTATTTGTAGTTTTTTATTCTTACAACACATTTACTTGTCATGCTGCATAATTATAAATCATTTCCAATCACAGGCTTGTGGTGTTTTGAACATGTTTTCTACATATTCTGGTGGTCCTCCAACTTTTTTTTTATTTGTGCAATTGGCCATTGCACTGGCACTGCTGGCACTTCCTTTCAGAGCAGGAGGTGCTCAAAGGGGGCCTACCTTTCAGGTCTTCTGGCCCAGTTAGCATTCAGAACCTCTCAATCCTGCAGTGTTTTTTTTTCATATTATACCCCAAACAAACAGTTAAAACCTTATGAAGATATAATTGTGGTTTTGTCAAAGTGGTGTGTTCATTGGGTTTTATTCTAGAGAAAAAAAACTGCTGCAGTTAAAATACAGAAGCCCCCCTTGAGCTGTCGGTTGATATATTTTGGGAGTTTATTGGCCAGGTGCCCAGTAAAAAATCCCTTATGTTATATTGGTTACACATATCAAGAACAGCGGGGAGGGGGAATGATGATTTATGCCAAGGAGAAGCAGCCTGCATGGACTGCAATACAGTGTGAATCGTTCCCCTCACAGAGATAGACACACAAAGATATGTTTCAGCCTCGGAAAATGTGATTTCACATCTTAAGTTTTTTTTCTCCGTAACATAAAATATTCATCTCTTAACTTGGAACAATTTAAGTTGAAGAGGAAGCCGATATTATTTCTAACGAGTTAGCAGTTCAGCTAATCTGCTTCATCAAGACGCTGTGATAAAAAAGAGACGTGTTATGGCTTCAAAGAGGGAAACCCACACAGAATACATCGACAAAGATATAGATAGTGTCTGGAATATTGATTTAAGTGCCTGCTTCTTACATAACGCTTGTCTTGGTTCTCCCTCCACAGAAGCTTTGGGTGTATATGATTAACATAGCATTCAGTGCATTGGCAATCCTCCACCTGACATACCTGGGCTCTGTGTTCAACTCCAGTGTGGACTACATGGAGGAGGATGAGGTGAGAGCACAACATATTTAGAAGAGTTATGCGACATACAATTATCATGCAATTCAATTAAAAACACATATTTTAAAGCCTTGTATCCCAGATCTGAATCTGTACAGCAAACAGCACCCTCTATCCTGTGTTTCTAGATGGAGATAAGGAAAATTATGACCCCAAAAAACCTTTCAGCTGTCACTAATGCTCCACCCAATAGACTAGTTTAGAATGACACTCTGCACGCATGAAATGTACAGCACACTATGTGACATACCTACATGTGAAACGGCACATCGAAATGAAACCTTAGCTGCAGTGTTTAAAGTTCATAGGACAGAGGAGAAGTGTCATGTAGTTATTTTTGTGCAGAAATAGTTGGAGATAAAAAAAAAAAATCCAAAAGAAAGGACGAAAGAATTACCACTCCCGTTTCATTAAAACATTGTTCATATGTATTGTTTTGTGAATAGCCCTGTTCCCATTCAGCTTACATAGTATGCACTGCCCCCTACAGGATGATATAACCCATCATACCATTCAGAAGTGGTCAGAGCTGAGCTGGACGAGCCACTGGGTCACATTCGGATGCTGGATTTTGTACCGCCTCATTCTCTAATCATAGGAGACGGAGAAACAGAGAACGTGAAGGAAGCAATAAAGAGGTTTTGTAAGGCTGGTTCTCCGCTTCTGCACTGTGACTTTATTCTGCATCAGACCGAAGAGAACCCAATCAACAACAAACCAACATGCAGTGTTCAGGTTGCGCCGCATGTTCGGCTGGGTAATCTATTATTCTAACCTGCTGGAGACTAGTTTTTGATATCCATGAAATGATAGCCCACTCCTCCCTCCCTTTTCCCCCCGTATCGCACCCTTTTTATCAGAGCCGCAGTTGTCGAGCCCTCATGTTGTGACAGCAGTTACCGATGTCTCACTGTGAGCCACAATCAATACCTATCAGCATGGTGGAGATCGGCTGCTCCTCTCCTCTCTGTGGACACACGATAGAGCACATTATCTGGGTCTCAGCTTCCACTGCGGCAGATGTCCTCCAGATGTGCTTTCCCCTCACCTCAAGTGTTTTACAATCGTAGTGTTAGGTTTGAAGGATGAGCCTGGTGATTTTATATGGTTTCTTATCTTGAACGAATCCCCTGAAATGAAAAAAATAAGTGTCGCCTGTCTCTCTAAACTCGGATCTCCTCAGCAGTCAAATACAAAAACCTGGATAATCTGAAACAACTGGTCACTGTAGAAGTATAAACATCTCTCACACACTGCTTCAATGTGCATTTGTTGAAAACAATTTTCAGCAACAGGTGAATGCTCTTGCTCTTGTGAGTATATGCAGCAGCAAGACAGTCTATGCTGTATGTTGGATTCACTTAAAAAATACAGCGGCCTCTCAGTGCCCTCCCAACGGTGTGGCTCAGCGATACATTTTGGACCATTAAGAGGATTTTCTAAAATACAAAAATATGCCAAATCAAGCTTCAAATACAGAGACGATACATGTTTTTTTTTTTTCATGGGATTTGTTAGAATAAGAAAGAATATCATCAGATATCTTTAAACGAGAGAACTGTCTCTTGAGCATGTTCAAGTTTGAATAATAGGAGCACAGAATATGGTTATAAGGCAGCAAATCAAAATGTTTCTCAAAATGATTTTCCCCTTTATGTGATTTTTAGAAAAAGAAAATGAATGGCTTAGTCTTTGGATTAATTTTCTTGTGGTGATATATTTCCTATAGGTGTTTTGTGTTATTTTTATAGTTCCATTTGAATACATTATTTGCATTAACAAAGACAAGTCTTATAAGTATTTGTGGACATTTCAGACACTCTTTCACTCCTCAGTATTGAAAAGTTTTATGATCAGGGTATTTCACATGTCTTACTGTAGGGGAAAATAATGTCTCATGTATTTCTTCCATTAGGGTTAAGGTGAACACTATATGAAGTATTTATCCAGATTTTTATGACACTGCTGCTTTTAATGATTCATCTCTGTAATTGACGGTCACCTGGTGAAAGACTCAAATGATTGTCTGTATCAGGTGGTGTTCACATCTTTTTGACCTCGTCCTTATATCTAGAAGGCTTTGCTTCTTCTCGAGTAAGCCGTAGTGTTTTAGATTAGAGCCTGAATGTCCGTTCATGCCTGAGAACAAGAGCTCAGTCTCTGCAGAGTTAATACCACACGACCCAACAAGTACAGTATTTGACATATTGTTCTGATATTTACTTTGAGGCGATTTTTCTCCCTGTAAATGTGAAGGCACTTACACACCTATGATATTTTTATAAAATTTTACATGAAACCTGGCTTACTGTCTTTTGTCTCATTCATTCATTGTGTGATTTAAAAAAAAATACATGTGATCAAACATGTACAGATAGAAGTCAGAAACATGGACTGCTGTAAGAAATAGTATTTATTTGAACTATTATTTACAAGAAGAATGTGTAACTGTTAGACAGTTTACCATGCTATGAGGGTGGGATGGGGAAGGATTGGAAGAGGGATGACAGACTTATTCTAGTTCATAGCTATGGTCCGGTTTTACATGGAGACTTTTTCTGAGCCTCCAGAGTTGGGTAACGGGGAGAGAAAACGGTTGGAAAAGGGAGGAAAGGACCAGAGGTTGAACAACAGATGGTGATGGATGGAGATCAGCAGGTTCACTCTCTGCCTCTGTGAGAGGTGAGCAGATGCTGTATTGGAACTGGCCGCACAACAGCCCAGTCTGCAGGCACAAGGGGGTGGGGGGAGGGTAAATGCAGAAACGCACTCAGTCCTGCTTGCCCCTAAGGCCCCCATGTTTACGACGGCAGGACCCAAGCAGTGTCTCCAAAGCCATCTTCACAAACGCCTGGAAGTTATTGCTTCTCTCCCTTCGGCTGTCCTGCTGGGGGATGGAGCAGACAAATAGGTTCACTGGGGACACAGCAATCACATCAACACATTTCCACACTGTACTTTATGTCAGGGCTGGAGGGAATTTCATAGGGAGTCCCAAACCACTGAAGGCCTATACTTAATCCTGCACAAAGCTCTATACGTTTGGAAACATCACATATTCTACGCACAGGTTTGATTTACTGGGTTGGAAAATGTGCAGATCAAATTAGGCTTCATATAAATGTTTACCTCCTTGCTTCTTGTTATCATCTCCTTTCTGATCACCTTTCTTCGGCTGCTCTTTAGGACTCTGAGGTTGCTGTGAAATAAAGGCAAATATAAATAAAGAGAGGCAACAGAAATACACAGATCGAGACATTTTTTTTGAAAATTTAGATGACTGTTATTCTTACCTTGGTAGCTGACTTCTTGTCCGACTTATTACCTGAAAATAGTGGAAACTCTCAGTCACTTTTGCCATATTTCTTTAATAAATACTTTGGGTTTTTTTACAAGTAATTGCAGCCCTTCTGGTATTCAAACAAATAAAATAAGTAACATTTAACAGGCGAACAGTTCAGTGTTTCACTTTGCCGAGGCCTACCTTTTGTTCCTGGCATTTTGGCTGTGGTCCAGTCGATGCTGATTTCTGAGAATGCAGTGCTAGATGTGGCGTTCACCTCGGTCATTTATGGCCCGTGCTTGTGAATGGCTCTGTCACTGGGGCCCCTTCGAGAAAGAGCACCATGAACAAGCAAAGAGCCCCGTCAGCTGAGCAGCATGCCCCGCAGCCCTGCAGCAGGTCTTTGCTGAGCCAGGCGAAACCTCTGAGCTGACCTTGTAATACTGCCATTGTGAAGCCACTGGAACTGTGTGCTCACCTATTGTCCCTGACAAGAAAGCATTTCTAACCATGGATGTGATTTTTATTATAGTTTACTAGTTCATTGTTGTATACTTTTTCAATACCAATTGTTTAAAAATGACACAATCCCTGTTATATTGATAAGTTCAATTGATTTTGGGCCTTGGAGAATGATTAATCCATCAAAACTGCAGGCAAATTCCTGTTTTTGTGCGCTTAAGACAGTGTTCAGGCAGGATTTTGCAATAGAAATAAACCAATATTTGGTTGCCAACACTTCTATTGTTGTTGCCATTGTATCAGAACAGGTATCAATATTGTTTGATGTTGATTAGAATTGTATCAAATTCCTGTATCATTACAACCGGTTACAACCATAGTTTATTACATCAGGGATCATTCTATTTACTGTTAGATAGATAGATGAGGATTGTCCTCAGACACCTCAGATGAAAACATTTTGTTGTTTACTCTATATTAGTCTTCAGCAGGAGCGGAGGAGCAGGGGGTCATTAAAAGAGGCTCATAGTTGTTGTTTCTCTATTGTGTGCTTTTCAATACAAATATTGCTAATATTGACCAATTGATTATTTTGCCCCTTGAAGAACATTGTTGTCCCTACATGCACCAATCCCGATATGCATGCAACAGAAATGCATTATCAATACTTTGTGTAAAAAAAAAAAAAAAAAACAGAGTTATGTGCAGCTGAAAATGTAATTTGTGTCCCTTGAAAACATGTTCACGGGAATAATGAAGTGTCTGTTTTTTGGGGGGTTTTGGGCTGTTGTCTTGCTCTATTTTCTAATCCAATCACCTGCAGTCAGCTCATCGCATCACATATACAATAAATAATGTAAACGCCGGTGATTCATCGTCCGGAGTCATGTAGGTCCACACATCAACAAAGTGGGCGGGGTCACACTGTGTCACGTGACTCGACGGAAAAAAAAAAAAGCAGCAGCAGCAGCAGCGATGGAGAAAAGCTAAGGAAGGTGAGCAGTTTCCAGATGTATTTCTCGGTGTTTCTTCTCTGCGTCACCACAACACAACCCCCCCATGAAGCCCGATTGAAGTCGTTAGCTGTTAAAACTATCCGTGTGCAATGAAGAATGCGTGGGAGAGAGGGGGCTTTCATGCGGGGACATCGCATATGATGTTGTGGCTATGTTGCTAAGTGCTATCTAGCTTTGCGACGCTATAGCTGTCAGGAAGTCTTGACCTGCCATCCTCAAACAAACAAACAAAAAATACCCAAAGCATTCATTATTATGCCTCCTTTTTTTAATTTATTTTTTTCCACATATGGTCACTTCTGCTGTTATTTTCTGGTGTAAAAACGACTTAAAGAACCACATTTTCATGACAAGGTTTATTCTCTATGGTGCTAATTGATTCTGCATCATCATTTGATTTAACGCTGAGAAAGGCAGGGTGGGGGGGTGATAGTCCATTTCTGCAGATGCCTTGTTCGTGTTAGCTGAGCCTCATTAACCTGCAGTGATTAAGTGTAAAATATGGTTGTTAAACATTAATTTGGTGTTGTGTCTTTTGACAGGAATCTGCCCCGGCAGTGGATTCCTCTCTACACAGAGTGTTTGTGGAATGGCAGCAGTTTGGCAGCAGGTTTTGGCAGTGGATGCAAGGTGAGGCTCAACCATGCAGCATCTTTCTTCTAATTGCGTATGGATCAGTTGTGAGTTATCGTGTTGTTGCTGTGTCCCCCCCCCCCTTCTTCTTCTTCAGGTACAATGCTTACCGCACGCCTACGTTCCCTCAGTTCCGAACTCAGTACATCCGCCGACGCAGCCAGCTGCTCAGAGAGAACGCCAAGTGTGGCTTTGAGCCGGGGCTGCGCAGGCAGTACCTGAGGCTGCGCAGTCAGCTGCTGGCCCTGCGCTACGGGCCCCTGTCTGAGCAGAGCAGCTTCAGGGCCAGCAGTGTGCGCAGCTCCCGCACCACACTGGACCGCATGGAGGTCAGACCCAAAGAAACAGAAAGGGAAGAGAGAAAGAATAGGTGTGGGGGTGTTTGTGCTAAATTGGTAAAGGAGAAATACAAGGAATTAGAATGACAGCATAAGATACATCATACGGGAGCCATCTGGATGGCTAGACCTTAGTTTTTGTCAATTAGCAGCAGAGCCAAACAGTGCTTTGCTTGCCCATGCAAATTAAGCTGAGCAGCTTGGTTGTAGTGGCTGGCATTGCACATGTATATAGGCAGTATCCCCATCCCAAAAAAAAGTTTTCATCACTTTATGATTCTTCTATTATGATTCTCTGTTGAAACCAGTTTCTGCTTTTACTTGCACTCACTCCTACGAGGTTCTGTCTTCCCCGCTTTCCTTCCTCTTACAGGACTTTGAGGAGGACCCCCGCGCCCAAGGGGCTCGTGGTCACCGTCGGTCCGTCAGCAGAGGCTCCTACCAGCTACAGGCCCAGATGAACAGAGCCGTTTATGATGAGAGGTAGTAAAAATAACTCCCACAGATATCCAGCATCCTTTAACATTGCCTTGAGCAATTGAATTCTATCTGATTTACTTGTCCAGTTGTATGTTGGATTTACTGGTTTGGTTGCGCTGAGTAACGTCCATATCTCTTATACCGAGCTGTAAGCTGTAGGGAAGGCTCCTGAGGTGTGTTGTATTGACTATATCTTTAGCGGTTTGGTGGTTTTTATTTCATACCGCAGGCCTCCGGGCAGTTTGGTGCCCACCTCAGTGGCAGAGGCCAGTCGAGCCATGGCTGGAGACACAACTTTGAGTGAAAACTATGCTTTTGCTGGCATGCATCACATATTTGACCAACATGTAGACTCTGCTGGTAAGTCAGTGACTTTTAATCAGTGATTATACACATTATGTATACATTTTTATTTCACAGTGTTGTGTTGTCCTTTTGTTTTAGTTCCACGTTTGCAGTTTGCCAACGATGACAAGCACCTCCTTGCTTGCTGCTCGCTGGACGGCACCCTGTCCATCATGACTTTGTCCCCGTCTCCTCCTACTGTGAAGGTGACCTTGAAAGGTCATGGGGGTCCAGTCACAGACTTTGCTTGGTCTTTGAGCAATGACATCATTGTTTCTACATCCCTGGATGGGACTCTGCGTATCTGGAACACAGAGGATGGTCGGTGCATCCGAGAGGTCAGAGACCCAGAATCCAGCGAGTTGCTCTGCTGCACCTTCCAGCCCATGAATAACAACCTTACTGTGGTGAGTCTTATTCTAGACTTTTTTCATATTGCATCGAGGACTTAAACTAGTTGCTGGCTCAATAATGTAATTTGCACTGGGTCATGTTAAATAGGAAAAGGGCTATCTGAAGACGAACCTCAATACCTAAAAACAACCGTAAAACATTTATGTGATGTACCTGCTGCAAGCTGTTTTACACATTCACTGTTTACTTAAATTTGAGGGCAACATTGACATACATCATGCAGTGATGTGTGTGTGTGCATGTCTGAACGTGTGTTTATGTGGGGCTCCAGCTCAACCCCGAAACGCAATGTTGAATCCACAGACTGGGACATGAATATTACGCTGTTGCAGAACCAATATGAGTGCAACAAGACGTGATGATGTCTGAGCTTAATTACGGCACTTTCGCGCAAAAAAAAAAAAGCCTTCTGAAAAGTGCTGCTGACAGTGCCTTGTTTTTTGCTGTTTTGATTTCCTCTTAAGTGTACACAACATTCTGTGCAATTAATTAATCATCATTCACATTAGTTCACACAAAAAGCTTTTTAATCTCTGTGTGATTATATAAATAAATTATGCAGTCCGAACCTCCCAATTGTAGCTTCTCATTATACCAAATTTCTGAATACATATTTGTTGATTCCAATTGTCAGTGTAATTACAACATCTATTGTTACCCAAAACAAAAGTGAAATGTTTCACATAATTTAGTTTTTACTCTTCTTTTTAAAGGATCGTTCTTTTATTCATAAGTATAAAATAAAATGAAAGCATAGTGCCCAGCAGTTTCCATTTATGTCTTATGGAGGTAGATAAATATTTTTTACAGATAGGCAATAACATTAGAGATATAACAATGTTGCTTTCTGGTTTGTATAACTTTAACTGGTCTTGTATCCAGAGACGCCTTGTTTTGGTCTCATCCGTCTTTACAGATTACAGAGTTGATGGAGATGATTCGATTAACAAGTTTTATTGTGTCTGTAAAAATCCCTTTGATGATATTTATCAAGTCCTCACAACTTAATTTCAGCTGCGCATACATCAGCGAAAGTTCCCCTAATGTGTTTATACTAAATACTAACACTGTGTGACATTCATATCACCAAACCGTAGAAAAACTGAAAGTGCCTTAAAGTCTTGAATGTTAAAACAAGAAACTACAGGCCAATAAAAATCCACACAACACTATTGAAATTAGAAACTGGTTTTCCTAGTCAAGCTGTTCATAACTCAGTCAGCCTCTCAGGGTTGCCCTGGTGACATGATGAGGGTCCTCACTCCCAGTTCTGTGTTGCAGGTGGGAAACAGCAAGCACCACCTGCAGGTGGTGAACATCTCCACTGGGAAGAAGGTGAAGGGGGGCTCCAGTAAGCTGACAGGCCGCGTGCTGTCTCTCTCCTTTGATGCTCCAGGGAGGATCCTTTGGGCGGGTGATGACAGGGGAAGCATCTTCTCCTTCCTCTTTGACATGGCCACAGGTATGCTCTTATTTTATATCAGCAGGCGGCAAAGAGTGCACTTACCGAACTCTCAAATTCTAATTAGTATTTTCATCATGCACTAAATGTCTCTGGTTGGATGGGAAAGCGATTGATGTGTCTCTGCCCGTCTCTGCTGTTTTTGCCTGCCCCCCCTGCAGGGAAGCTAACCAAAGCCAAGCGTCTGGTGGTGAGTGAAGGCAGCTCCATCTGCAGCATATCTGCTCGGTCCTGGATTAGCAGAGAGGCCAGAGACCCCTCCCTGCTGGTTAACGCCTGTGTCAATAAGCTACTGCTGTACAGGTCAGTCAGTAAGGGGAACTCACTGTTTATTAATAGGCTGATTTGTTTATCCTCATTTTCAGCTTGTAACTAACCATTGCATTGAGTGTAATCTGTTATCCCACATTTTTGTTGGCAGGGTGGTGGACAATGATGGTACACTGCAGCTAAAGAGAAGCTTCCCTATTCAGCACGGCTCCCAGCACGTTCACAGCATCTTCTGCCCCCTCATGTCTTTCAGACAGGGGGCCTGTGTGGGTAAGAAGTCTCTCAGACTTTCTGCTGTATTTGAATGGAAACATGCTGCTGGCCACCAAATCTGAAATAGTGGATGAAATAGTAAACGGCTGTTTTTGCATGAAGACAAAAACCATTGAGCAACCTATCAACAATACTGCAGCCTGTAATAGTATATATATAACTGTATATTCAATTTGTTTTTGGAGCAGAAATATTTGACACTGCTTTACCTCAGAGATTCATCTTACTTGACTCTCCTCTCCTTTGTTATTTACTGACAACCATATGTTATATTATGCAAAGCTCATCAGTGTTTAAATTATCAGGTTTCTGTCTCCAATTAACGGAAGTATCTCGCATATATAAAAATACTCTTGTGAAACTGTTAAGGGCGTTGTCATTCCATTGTTACAAAAGGTGCTGATATCCTGCTGTTAATACTCCTCAGGATTGTTTATGGCAGCCAATTATTTATTTTCCTGTTGGAAATGTAAAGTCTGTAAAGTGAAAGCGAGAAAATGTAATTCAGTGTCATTGGAGGTTGTTTAGGGACACGGTAGACTACTGAGTAACTCATGTTCAATTCAAAATGAGCTGTTTTAATGAGCCATCCATAATTCATTTGTCTATTATTCCTTGTAATTTCACTTCTTTGTCTTCTGACACAGTTACTGGCAGCGAGGATGCCTGTGTCTACTTCTTCGACGTGGAACGCAACACCAAAGCGATCGTGAACAAGTTGCAGGGTCACGGGGGGCCTGTGCTGGACGTCAGCTTCAACTGTGACGAGAGTTTACTGGCGTCTGCCGACTCCACCGGCATGGTCATCATCTGGAGGCGGGAGCAAAAGTGACTGATCTACCAATGAAAACGCTTCCATCCGCATCAACTCCTTAACCGTCCGATAACAAATGTGTAGATTTTCACTGGAATGTAACAGGCTGCATTGAACGTTTAATTTAATGATACTCAAGTGCAATCAGATAGAAATCCATGCTGTGTAGGTGGTAGGGATGTCTTCAGAGAAATTCAAGGGGTTAGTGACTGAGTTCTGTGAGTGTGTGTGTTTGTGTGTGTGTGTGTGTGTGTGTGTGTGTGTGTGCTTGTGTCAGTACTCCTACAGCTGCAGCTGAGAAATTGCTTTTCGACCAAGAAAGAAAGAGCACTACTCCCATGCATGTGTCATGGCTTACCTCTGACTTGTAAGGTATGACTGAATTCATGTGAAGAGGATAAAACAATCTTCCAGATATACCAGATCCAACACTGTATCACACTAACATTCCCTCTGGCGTAGATCTAGTTCACCCTTTATGTAACTGTTATTCAAGCAGTGTAATCAATGTAGTAACCTTCCTTTTTATGCTTTCAGTCCCGCAATTGCCTGTTTGCTTTTGAGGACAATGTGCATGACATAAAAAAAAAAACTCCCATCAGTCTGTAGGCATATCAGTTCCATCACAAAGAATGACAAATAAGTGAGTTTTTAAGTACTTATCTATTTGTGTGTGTGTGTGTTTGTGTTTCATGCTGGTTGCAGATTAATATAATTTATTCAACATACATACAGAATAAACTCCTGTAACTGTCAGAAGTCGTTGTTGCCTTTTTCCCCTTTACATATGTGAAAAACAAAATGTAATGATAAGAGTATCATAAAGTAGGGTGGTCAAACCTACAGTGTAGGATGTGTGAGTCATTGTGTGGGTCTTTGAGATCTACACAGGATTCCCCCTACATCAATAACTAAAGCATGTGTGAAATAACACTTGCATTGTAGCCATGTCATAATCGTTATGTAACGAGCGTTTGTATTGTTTGAGGATTTTGGTTGTTATCATCAGTTGTGTTATTATTACCTCTAAAGATTCTCCAGTTTGGCCGTCCATCATTGTTATCATTATCGTCACGTAGTCTTTAGCCAAGCTGTCACTAGCTTCATGAACAGTAATCTTGGTTGCTTGGTCTGTTTGACACCAATCCTCCTGACTTTAGTTGCCCCCTGACCTTTCATCTTCTTCAAATTTGACATTGATGAAGTATTCTGTGACATCTCATCACAGTAAAATGACAGATGTACGGACCCCTAAGAGGATACATTATAGACTTTGGTTCTACTCTGACTTACCAGCAAGCACCATCTTAAGAAAAAAATCTGATTAGTCCAATTAAATTCTCATAAAACTCGGCTGTACTTTGTGCAAAATGATAACTAGCTACAGCTAATGTAATACCATGCTAAACTAAGATGTGCATGGAAAACATCTCTGATGTCATTGTCACTCTGAGCATGTTAGCATTCTACTGTTAGCATTTAGCACAAACACCTGCTGTGTGCTCGTTATCCTCATATTCATGTATCTCTCTAAAGCACCATTTATCAATCCCATAATGTCCTTACATTTTCTATAATGATATGTTTGATTTTGTTAACACCTGCAAGTTGTTAGTTGCAGCTACACTGTAAACACCAACAAAATATCAGGAAGAAACTGGTCTCCCACCATTTTTGGACTTCGATTTCAAAGTGATATTGATCTGCGACCCCTTGAGGTCTCTGTGTGGATACAAGAAGTGAGATTTTAGTTCCCAAGGACCAAAAAGTGAACCAGTATTTCACAAGAAAAACAACAAAATCTATACAAACTAAAACTACAGGGTTCTGTTTAGTTGGAAGTTCTGGTGTGCCCTACGTTATTAATAAAAAACATTTTATGGTTATTAACCCCGAGTTTGTGATCGTCTCAGATAGATAACAACCACACGCCCATGCCCCAACACATGTAGAAATCTCTGTTTACTGGGTCTAGACAAGCTATGAAGATTAAACATTAGTGTTGCGTGTCAGACTAATGTATGGTGGCGGTGCGTGACATTACTCTCGCATTACCATCTCCACTCTGTTTGCTCTGCCTCAGTGTGAGAGAAGGAAAACAATTATCTAAAAATGTAAAAAAAAAAAAAAAAAGAGGTTGAAAAAATATTCACTGGGAAGCACGACGAGGGTCTGAATATGTGATTTAACATTTCAAACACATTATGTATGATTTATGCACATTTGCAGCGCCCCTAGACTTGATTGTTTACCTCTCAAGGTTGGTGAGGGTGTTGTGACGTATGAATGTGGCTGTGTGGGAGTGAAAGCACAATGAATTGTTGCTGTCTGGGAAGGTCAGGACAAGTCTTTTGAAACAGGCAGAATAGGTGCTGATGAAAAAAAATAAATTAAAAAAAGGAAGTAAACCTTTCCAACTAACTTCCCCTGTGTGAACCGGAGCCATCTTACAGGACACCGCAACAGGGCCTCTGAACAACCTTGCATGTTCAGAACATACAGTACAGTGGGCAAAGATACGTTTTCACAAATGAGTAAGACAGCTTTTGTTGTGGTGCATCTTGGTGGGAAGTGGGAAGAAAGCTAAAAATAAGCATAAGATGAACTGTAACATCGGCCCTGGTGAGACACAGTCCGGTACAACCTGTTCAACCTGGACTAGTTAGAGGATGTTCAAAGGGTTGATGCGTCTCACTATGGAAACATATTTTCCATCAGCCACGGTCTGAAAGCACAAATAAAGACAATGGAAATGATCTCTTATTGAAATTCAAAACACAGGCAAATCATTTATCAAGAGAATACACATACGATGGCTGGATTTTAATCAGGTCCTGATTAAGATTGACAAATATTGTGTTCTCCCGGCCGTTTCTACTTTATTTGACATTGTCTAAAGCGTCATTATGTACTTCAGCTGTTTGCATAAAGTTTTCTGTAAATATGGAAACTGGGGGATTATTTTTTTACATTTGTTATCATGAAGAGAACCTTACCAACCGTGTATAAAATGTTCTTTTATGAGCAGCATAATTTTTTACCAGTAAAATGACTATTAACCTTTCTTCATTTCTTCATTAACCTTTGTTCATTCATAAAGAACATCACAACTATGTCATATGTATTAGATAAAAAAAAAGAAAAATATGCCCCTTTGAGGGTCTTGATACAGACAATAGACTGTAAATATTAATACTTAACTTTAAGTCAACCTAACGACAGGCTAAGGCTGTGTTTGAAACCACGTACTACATACAGCCTACTACATACTCAAACTATACACACTGCAATCGGCATACTAACCCGACCGTTAGTACGCCGTAATGCCGGTCCGAGCTCCGTTCGATGAGCTAGCATCAAGCTAGCGTGACTGTCGGCCCGTAAATATAATTCAACAAAAACGTTCATTATTAATACAACTAGGAAGTCATTTTAATATTATTACCAGACATGTAAAATGTATTTCAACACATAACTTTTATTTTAAGCCACTAGTTGGCTGGATGGCGAGCTCCACAATTGCACAGTCTGAAAGCCGCACTGCATTGTGGGGCGGTTCAGTGTGACCAGTATGCTCCCGTTTCTTGCTTAAAAATTCTGGCGGATCTAGTATACATCTGTTCTCACAAAGTTGTAACATCACACCCGCCCATCAATCGGGTCAGACACATACGTAACTATGCATAACTTGTATCCTTCAGAAAATGAAGACCAGTGTTATTAAAAAAAAAATCACCCCTGTACAGAGTGTGCAGATGAAATAAAATAAAAACCCAGATCCAAATCATTTTGATACCAGGCTGTAAAGATGTTAATTTCTGCTGTTAAAATGTGCTTTTTTGAATGGGGTGTGTATGTCACTACGTTGTCTCTTGGAGCCTGCCCCAAGCGGACACTTGAGGAACTGCAGCTCTGCATTGGCTTCATTTTTCAACCCAGGAGGTTGCCGCTTGATACAGACAGACTCAAATCCATCTCTTGCTTTACAAAAATTATTTCACAGCTGCATCTTGAAAACCATTGGCCCATTCATTATATACATTCTATAGTCACTGTTTCTACATGTTGTCTATTATATGCGGTGGTAAAAAAATAAAATACAACCAAATATAAAGCGTAAGCTTTTGAGCATAAACATGACGAATAAAAGTCAAAATTGTAATGAATTTAAGTCATCACTTATGAGTTTGCTAAGTCCTTCAGAGCTTCATTCCTTCATTCTTTGTCTGTTTTTATAGCAAGGTCCTCGTGACACATGTTTTCATTCAGTGTTCAAAGCCAGACTACGTCACATCTGAAGGTAGAAATATCACTCTCAATAACAGTTCAATTCTCAACTGAAAATTGATTTTTGCTCAAATCAGACCAGTCAAGAGTTTTTTAATCTGGTGTGACCAGTAGCTAGCGGTGGCTAACACTAGCCAATTTAAGCTTTTAGTCTTTTAGCCATATTCTTAACTTTGTGGCATTGCTATATTTGTCCTGGCATTTACATGTATACTACTACTTAAATGCATCGCTACTTTAAGCTAAAGCTACATAGTCTCCTTTAGAGTTTTATTGCAGGAAGGTTTACGTGTATTAGCCCACTAGCTCACAAATTGTCCTTGATTGATCAAACCACACTCTTCAGTTTAAGCCTTCTATTACATTTTCAAAAATGTTGTCAGTTTCTTTTTTTATGGTAACCATCGTCTGCCTTAACTGAAATGTTGAACTTATAAAAATTACAAATCCTTTTGAATATTCAGCAGTTGTTCACTGCTTTAATGAAGAGAAAAGAAGAGATGACTTTTTATTTAATACAGGGAAATGTACAAAAGGTAGCCTCACCTCGCATCTGAAAAGCACCCTTTTCTTTGTAGCCCTACGTGTTCCACTAAAGTGCACACTTGATATAATTTGTGATGCATGAACTGTAAAGTAGTCTATTTTATGTGAAGTGTTCTCCAAAGGGAGGCAACCATGTCAACATCCAGGCAGGTCATGACTCATGTTGCATCAAAAGTAGAGTCTTTATTGATGAGTGGGGAAAAAAAGAACCACCTCAGTTAAACTGTACAGTTACAGAATATCATCTCGCGAAGGAATGCCAGACGTAAAAATTATGGACCTCAGTTCACTTTTCTCTTCTTCTTCTTTCCGTATCAACATCTGTACAAGTTGTAATCCACAGTCTTGAATCTATGAAATGCAGTGGAATGCATGCTAATACAGTATGCTGTGCAAGTGTCCACATTTAGAAAAATTGACTGCACAAGTATATCTATGCCTAACATACTGTAGGTCTGACATTTTAGATTACATGAATCTTAATTTGGAGAGACAACTTGATGTGGTCGTGGCTGGTTTTCATACACCAAACATCTCCGGGGTCAAATTCAAACCTGTTTAGATTGCGAAATACTGTAATCCAGAACACTCAAATAGTGGTACTTCTGCTGAAGGGGGAATAATAAAAGAGCCTTGTAACATTCAAGTTTCCTTCAAGTTAAGAGCCACTTAATTTCTTCATTTTTCAGTATTCTTATGAGAGCATATCATGACTTTAAAAACATTCCCAAGATCACCATTTGCAAATAAATGTTCATTTGCTAATGATTTTTTTCAAACAACGTAATTCACATCATCATCATTCAAGTCTTTAAATCCTATGGCCTGTTTGCAATGTACAAGTGTTGTTTTCTAATTATTCGGTCCCCTTTTTCATTATCCATCTATAGTTCCCATTTGCTTGTTCATTAAAAAATCCGACT